GTTTTTAGTTTAATATGTATGCCATGTATGCTTATGTAAACCGAAAAAAGAAGCAGTGATAAAATTTCCAATCTTCAATTTTTTGAGTGCGCCACAGTTAACTGGTTAAATTACAATTAGCAAGTCCTGCATAAGATTTATATTACCTATTTTTCCTACATATAATTACATTTTATCTGTGTGAAGAATAAGCGTAAGAGTAAGTCAAGCGCAAAACAATCATTAAACATTAAAATATAATCCACGATATATGCAATTCACATCTATACAAATACACTGTTCAAGATATTAAAATTTCATAATTACTGTACATTATGATACTTAGATATACAATATATAATTCAAATTTTTTAATTCAAATCTCATAGAAAAGTTGGTCCCAACTCATTTTGGTATAATGCAAAGCTAAATTGAATTAGGTTGGGAGCTGATACCTTAAGATGAAAAGGAGCCTGCTGCCAGATATGTGATACAATAAATTCACTTAATATAAAATACTCTAAAACATAAAATTTATATTGAAATTGTACTGTTACATATAAGACAGCCGTTGGCACTTTTTTAAAATAAGAAGTGTATCATAAGATATAAATTCAAATATCAAATTTGATATGTGCATATAATAATGGTCTATATAAAAAATTTAAGTTCTATAGAGCATACTGTTATTTGGTTCATTTTGGACGATTTCTCTTAAAATTCCAATTATGTTAAAAATTTCATTTTATATAAAATCAAAATATTGCAATTAAAAATTGCCACATAAATTAATAACTGCAAATGTTACGGTAATGTAATTATTTACAGTTTCATAAATATTATTATATATTTTATTTACAATATTTCAATATTAGGGGCCAACAATTCGGCCATTAGAAAATAAGTGATTTAAAGTCTCTATTGACGTTTTTTTAACAATAAGAAAGAAGGTTTATAGGTTTAAGCAATGATGCAAACTTTTCTTTATTTATTAATCTATTCAATATAACTAGAATGCCACTTCTACATTTAATATAGTAGCAAAAGTTGCACAATGTTCTATTATATTTGCAATAGAATCTTTTTCATTCGTATATGGTATAATATTGACCAATTTAGTAATTTGTTTTGAATTTTAGCCACATCAAATTTATAAACCTACTTATCCGAGTAATTTGAAAAATTATGCGTATTTTTAGCCTTATGCGTAAAATACGACAAAATTGAATTTAGTACTGGTGATTTCTTAAAAAATATTGATTTATTAAAAATTATTTTGCCGTTAATACATAATATGCAAACCAGTAGTGTGCAGTATATACATTTCATGTATATTCCATGAAAATATCTTAGATTTTTTTTTTAAATACTCAACACATTTTCTTCTCGTTGCCGATACATTCTCTTAATATGTACATTAACATACTGTATTTATTTAATACATAAATTGGTAATAAAATAAGTTGGTTAATCTTTGGAATGAGTCTTATGTAATATATTTACTTGTATAATAAAAGCTTTCATCAATATATAAATAAATACTCGTTTATGTTTCGTAGCTTGAGTCAAGATTATTTTTGAAAATTTTGCAATATTATTAATTTTGGTTTTATATTTAGATGTCAGCATATATTAATTTTAACCCCAACAAAAATTTTAATAACAAATAACTATTTAATAAAAAGTTGACTATTATTAGACCGTCGAGTTATACTATCAAAAATCTAACAATTAGTATCAACACCCAACTTTATCTTATCAAAATGTCCATATTTGTTCCGTTTTGCTTTAGATTCCTTTTCCATATCGATAGGAAGGTTGATACTACTAAAACTCAAATTTGAAAACATATTGCAAATTTGATTAATTTCATAAGGATAATAAATATTAGAAAATTAAAAAGTTGGCCGCTGTCTGTAGCATGCGGCTTATAAATTAATATTTCAGCATTACTTTCATACCAAAATTATTTGGCGCACAAATGTTGGAAACGAGACAAGATCCCTTGATTTCTTTAATTTTTTTCTTCAGAAAATTTCAGAGCTTTTAATTAATTTCAATTTTACATATATGCTCAATTAAAAAAGAACGATATTGTGTAAGCTGATGAATTTGAAGTCATCGACAAAATATTCATAAGAATATGATTATAATAGGTGTTACTTCTGTTATCACTAAATTTGGAGTTGTTCCAACAAATAATATTTCAAGAAAGTATTACAAATTATTATTCACAATAAAGTTGTTACCAGCAAATGATGGTAATTTACGCCGTGACTAGCAGCTGCAACATAACATGTATGTTGTAATGTGAAACTACTATGTATGTTGGAATACGAACTAAATGAAAATAGTAATAATTGAACAAAAAAAATATTTAATTCCGCCATCGGGTCCTAGCCTAAAAGGTTGAGAGCTCAGAAATATTTTTATTTTATACTGATTTGCGTATATTGCTTCACATTTGATTTCTTAAAAATAAATTTTGTAAAAGCCATTTTGAATAAAATTTTTTTTTTATTGCGATTCTATCCAAAGATCTTTTTTTTTGCTCTCGCCTAATTGTAAGAGTAAGAAGCTTATGGCCAGTAGTGCAACAGATATAATGTGTAATTGAGTCGCAAAAATCTCAAAGTTTATTAGAATTAGAACCGAGTGCAACGTGACGATTTTTACTGACAGGGCCTATTTGAAAAAAATGACACGGGCCCACTTGCCATGGCTCCACATGGTATAGTTCCACTACTACAGACAATGGAAGTAGAAATTCAGAAATTCATTTAAAATATGTTCCGTTGGAATATAAGTTAAAAAGTTATACAGTAGAACCTCGATTAACCGGACTAATTGTTGTCGATAGGCATCCGGATAATCAAAATTCGGATAATCAAATGTATGAAGAATAATGTTGTGTATTTATTAAAAATAACAAATACATACATAGATATCAACGAAAATAATGTTTATTAAGAAATTGAAACTTTCTTATGTATGTACATATATATTTTCTCAGAAATCTTTACATACATATACTAAACTTCAGGATTAATCGTGCAAAAATTCGAATTGTAGGTATGTACATGCATATAAATTAGTCGCCGTTGGTAGTCCGGATAATCGCGAATCCGTATAACCGAGGTTCGGATAATCGAGGTTCTACTGTATGAGATTACGAGTATGTCACATATTTACAGTTATTCCTGCTTTGTGCGCTAGATAGCTTAAATAATCTCGCAAAATTTTAAAAGTTGAAATAAGCTTGTCATAAGTCAAATTGTTAGAAATTGTCAACAATTATAATATGCAAATTAAGGGACCGATTCTGCCGCATAACAAAAAAATGTTATGGCAAGGTCTTGTTATAAAGAACTTTCCATACTAATATTGACAAAAGCCATGCGATTGGTGTGCAGTCAGGCAAATTTCTCAGGTTGTTTGATAGAAAACATAACCTAAAAGCCGCACTAATGTCAAAAAAAAACGATGTCAGATAACAGTGTGTTTCTGATACAGCTCCATAACATACGAGTGACGTTGCAGTTTATGTGTAAAACGCCTGAATGAACAGCAAATACATAACATTTTGACAGTATTCAGTATGATTCGCTAGCATAATGTATGGAAGTCGGAGCGTAACATGGCCTTGCCGTAACATTTTTCTGTTATGCGGCAGAATCGGTCCCTAAATTTGTAAAAATTTGATCAAACTTGACGTTATTGCCTCTTAGCAGAATATATTGAGACTCTTGTAATAAATATAATATGAGCAGTAATAATTCAAAGGCGTAATTACATATTCTCGTTTTGGGTGCTTTTATGTTTAGTTTATTTTATTAAGGGGCACAACTAGTGTGAAATTTTCAAAAAATCGAATTTTCATTTTTTTCATATTTCGATAGGTTATACCTTTAAAAATAACATAGCAAAAGTTTGAATCGATATCTTAAATAGTTTTTAAGTCACAGCCATTTAATGAGTATATATATAGTATATAGTATAACGATCATTTAATCTTTAAATGCGTTTTTCTCGAAAGAGCATTTTCCGAATTTGCTGCAGCGATTACTCAAAAACAAATGATCCGATCACTATCGATTTTTTTTTACATATTCTATATATAGTTCTCTGTAAAATGAACTATCGATTTTTTGATCGGATCAAAAATCGAATTTTGGTAGTCCAAAAACGGCCAAAATTTTGGGTAAAATTCAACTTTTTTTTTAAAAACGCCGTCATTTTGTCAATTTTTGATTTTTTTCTTTATCGTAGTTCATTTTACAGACAATATTATCTAGTCTAACGATTTTTTTTTTTAATTTCATCCACTTAGAAAGCCGGAATCACTTTTTTTCGCCGTTGGAGATCGACGATAACTTAAAAAATATTTAATTTTTTTCTTCAAAAATTTTACTATGTGTTCTTAAAACATGTATACCCATATTCCTAAAATTTTGAAATGATTGATAAAGTAGTTTTTTTAATATAAATTCCCAAAAATCACCTTTTTTTAGGCGGTTACACTAGTTGTGCCCCAATATAAATTTATGGCTGAATATTTGACCTAATTTGTTAAATAGTTGGAATATAGTAGATTGAATTTCTCATTTATTTTATCATATATTTATAAAAATTACTGCTATATACTACACTGGTAAAAATATTTTTGAAGAAATATTATAGAGTTAAGGTAGGTACTGATCTGAACAGGATAACCCACTGACGCTAGTCCAAGTTCCACGTGATACTGAATGGATTTGAAAAAAATATGTATGGAAATTAAAAAAGGTTGGACAAACGCATGTACATCTTTCAGAAACCTCAAGACATAAAAGTAACGCTATACGCGTTTCGGAAACCCTATACTACAGTAGGTTTCCTTCTACCGAACCAACCGAGTGAACAAACAAATCCAGCAATAGCTTCCCATAACGTCCTCCTGCCTTCTCTTCGATTTTCACGTTTTCCACTTGCAAAAGCTAAACTACCACCACCACCACCACCAATAGGATTGTAACTGTTACCTATTGGAACGCTTGGTGTGCCGTTCCTGATCCCTCGTGGTCCACTAATAGTGATCTGGTTGACGTTTTGCTGACTGTTCAGGGAGATTTTGTCATAGCTGCTCGATCTGCTATCTCGAGCCCTGTTCTGTTGTAGTTGCTGTTGCTGCCGCTGCCCAGGAATAGCCGGCAACAGGCGGGCCCTCAAAGGCGCGCGGGTCGTTTTATTTCAGGCGTACTCCGTTTCCGTAGACAGACTACGGCCGCCAATCGAGTACGGGCGTTCTTCGAACCCCGGAGAAGAGTCTTCGTTGTTACCTGAAATATTAAAATGAATACATGACATTTTATTACACATGTGATACAGAGATATGTACGGATTACTAATGTAATTTAAATCAATTATCGCCACAGTTTCATCATCGGATTCAGTGTCAGTCGAATACATAAGACGCTGATGAATTGTTCCATGGTTTTATCATATAGAATATTCATGTGTTGTAATTATTTGTATAGTGTCTTAAAATACATTTTATATTTTTACCCTTTAATTTTAATACACTTTTAAAATTAATAAAATTAATGAAATAGCCATTATCTAAGGTATTGGCTATTCGTCCCGGTTTGGCCGGGACAGTCTCGCATTTGCACGGTGGTTTTGTCCCGGGTTTCTATAAGCAATATTTGTCCCGGATTTTACCGGTTTTCCAAAAATTTAGAGGTAAATTACCAAAAATTATAAAAACAAACAAGCAAGTGCTATTTTTTTCAATTAATTATGAAGAAGAGTGGAATAGAATTTCATATAAGATACAAAAGCAGAAAGTATAAGATCGAAAAGTATAAGATATAATATAATATTGTAGAAAAAAATATTACATATAATCGAAAAATAAAGTTCTTACTAAGTGCGCAATAACGATTTAAAAAAATGATTCATATAAAAAACTGTTTTTTATTGCACCTCCAAGTGGCATTTGTTATTATAGAGGCCTAAACAATAACTAAAAATTGCCGTCCAGGTTTCTTAACAAAATATGATCACCTTACATTTTGGTAACATTTAGGTAGAGTAAGTATGGACAAAATGACATGGGGTTTTGTTTTTCAATGGAATTTATTTATTTAACGATTATAATCAGACTCCGTCTATTTTACTAGTAAGATAGACTTTTTTTAAAGTAGAAACTGTAATAACATATTTATTAAGCGAAAATGCAACCAATAACAAAAACCATTTTGACCATATAGTATGGACAAAATGACATATAAGGTAAGGACATTGTGCGATAAATAAATCGTTAAGTCCTCTTCGGGACTCGAAGAGAACAAACCATACATCGTAACGAACGTTCGAAGGGCTCAGAACAGGACAAAAGATATTTGCAATAAATGCAAGTTTTTTCTTTTTATACCGGTGGATCTTTCGCCCGGATTTTAAAAGTCATTAGAGTAAAAGTTAAAAGCCAATAACGTTTGACAAGAATCAATTTTTTTTATCTTGACCTCGAATGAACTACCCTGTAGTGCTTGCAAAATAATACTCTATCATTTTGTCTATTGTATGAGTATTTCATTTTGTTCGTAAGTGAACAAAAATAAATAAATAATAATCAAAATTCCATAAGAACATTGATAATTTCAATAAGTACTGGCACCAGTTCATTGATCAGAAAAGAAATAATTAAAAATAACATCATCGTCAAAACAAACTTTTAAAGACTTATACCTGCACCAAGACTGTGACAATGACCTCAACATCTGACCAGATTGTGATTGTAGATTTGGTCGTGTTATACATTTGCAGATTAGTAAAACTAGCCAATATATACACCAATTTGTCCGTATTCACCCTACTGTTAGTAAACATGAACGAATAACAATTTTGGTTTGGTTTGCATTTACTATGTTAAAATTGACAAAGTTTCAATTAATTTTTGAAATTCTATTGAGCAGTAAATCATTTAACATTCAAAATAGGTATGTAAAAGATTGTATGTGAACTCTCGCGCAGACTTTAAAATATACTATACATAAAACTAAAAAAATCCAAAATCTAAAAATGGAATGAATTTCAATACATAACTTTATTACCAACTCAAAACTTCAGTTTTATTTGAGCTTTATTTTTCTTATTTTAGAGTAAACCGTAAAAAACAAAAGTTTTTTTTACAAAAATAGTAAGTTTTGTTTCTCATCGCCGAGTTCTATTTCAAAACTTATACTAAATTAGATTAATTATAATTAATATAAAAATAACTAATAGAGCGCTGCACAATATATAGTCGAGCATCTTTCCCTCGCACGACTCATATCCAATGCATAATTAATATGCGAAAATAAATAAAGAAAATGTAATAAAGAAATTTTAAATTCGAATTCAATGCTTGACCGATACAAAAGCACATGCTTTTGCTTCCAGCGGTGATAGTAAAACCGCGCAACTATTTTTCAAAGAATTCCTAAAATGCCGTTTGCAATTACACGGGAACTGAACTCCAACTATGTGCAAATCACCAGCATTTTTTATTTTCTTGTAAAAAAATCGATATATATATATATATATATATATATATATATATATATATATACTTGTGAGGATATTGAGAAAAATACGAGTTTACTAGAACAGTTTTGGTCAGCAAATTTTTTCAGGATTTTTATATATATAAAAATCGTAAGCAATATAATTAATATTGCTGAACTATAGAATTCAATTCATATCAAAACCATTTCTATCCATTGCTTGAATATTGAAGTATATATAATCTAATTGTTTTATAAGATGTTTTGTTATTTTTGGGTTAGATTCAACGACTGTTTCTATAAAACCTTCATAAAAAGTAACATATGGACAATAAAAAAATGAATTATTTAATTGTTACGGACTTCAAGCTTAGAAAAAAACAATTTTACACAAGATAAACCTAATAGTTATTCCAACTCTGCTAATAAATTTCTGATGACATACCAGATCAAGGTTATACACAGTGTTTGTAAAAAATATGTCCATGAAATTTTAAATTTTGCATTAGTTGTATAATGTAGTTGTTATGTATTTCGTAAAATCATTTCAATGATAAAATTAAGACATTAAATCTGTTGATCCAGCTTATTGGGTAAGAAGAACCAGTTGACAAATTTTTGAAAAAAAAAAACAGCAAAAAACATAGTTCTTTTCTTATTTATTACTGAACATAGTTAGAATGTTGATATGTAGTATTTATTTTGGTGTAGTTGGTTTGGTTTTCACAAAGTTTAGAATTTGGAAAAAATAGTTATGATTATTATTTAAGCGGAAATTTAACTAAATTATTTCAATGAATCTTAAACAACAAGATTATGCATTAAGATATATGCAAAAAATGACATCGTGAATAAATGAATAAGCAAATCAAATAATGTAACTAACCTTCTGGAGTAGCGAGATCATCACTGTATGTTCCTCTGGAATGTGCGTATGCTAAACTTTTTTGGTAACTAAATAATTGCCTCTCTAAACTATAGTTTTCAGCTTGCAGTGCACTAATTTCTCGCCTGAAAAGCATAATATATATGTACATACTAGTGCAAAAATTAACTATTGTAAACTAAGATATTATAACTATAATATCTACCACATTATTATTATTTTATTCTACTACCCTATTGGTAATATTGTAGTATATATACACACACATACATATATATATACACACGTTTATATATATATATATATATATATATATATTTTTGTAAAAACAAATGTACTGATGCAAAAATAATGGATTATTTTTCTGTCCAACTCTTTGAAGATTATGTCAAAATATATTAGGTTGTCAAATATCTCCCTTCCGCCTTTTTGTATTATAAACCAATAGCAAAAAAGCGGAAGGGAGATATTTGACAACCTAATATTAAAAAAAAAACATATGAATTTTTATACCGCAATCTCAAGTAAAGCTGTATTGACTTCAAACCCAATCCACAAGCCAATATTTGGGTATATCGTCGCTTGTAATATCATTCACAATCCAAGCCGTAGTAGATTTTAGAGCTGTTTGCACTCACTAAAGGAAACAAACACACCACAGAGCGTATACTTTGTATACCTATATAAGCACACACATACACTCTATTATAACTATAATATACTATACACATAACTCAAATTAAAATATGAAAGAAATGAAGTATAGTAAAATACATGACAAAATTGCAAGCACTTTCTAATTTTGCAAATATACTAAAATTGATTTGCCTCAAAAACTAATAAGCGTAATTTCCATCCTATACGTCAAACGATTTTTTAATTCTCAAAAATTGTTCGTAAACTAGCAATACACTAAAAATATAATCATAATACAAAAATGATCAATGCAAATAAACGGAATTCTATCTGTTTAATTTAAGGATTTTGGATAAGCTAAATTATATGCGTAAGTTGTTTGAGCCACTATGTGCAAAAGCAAGTGCATCCTGGGATTCGTTGAATAGTCTGCGTTCTCAAAAAAGTTAAAAGTGATTTAAAAATTACTGATTGTTTTCGTGTTACGTGCTGGTGTTTAAGGTTCGATTAACAAAATTTTTGATAATATTATGCATGTTCCCAATTGTCTTTATAGACATTGATGATGAAAAAAATCACATGTTGCAACGTATGGAAGATACTTTAAAAATCTCATGTATGTCATAGAGTTTATTCATATATATAAACATGCAAATGTTGATACTGTTCTGAATATAAAATATGATAAACACTTATTTTACTTATTCTGTTTTGACATTGTATGGGTGTCATGATTTAACAAGTTCACACCCGAAAGAAGCATTTTTGTATAATTTAAACGATGAGCACAAAACTTTGAAATATAGTTTAATTATGAACATAATTAAAAATGTAGTACATAATCATGCAGTTTGTCAAAAAAATTCTTTCAGATAGATATATGTGTGTACCCATGATATTACTATTATTCATTATTACAGTTTATATACAAACTACGTAATATATTTAATTATTCATCCCTACCATTCTAGTATATCCTTAGTCATACGGTAGTGTACACTAACATTGTAGTCCTAAGTCATATCAAAATAACATACGAACTACGCAAAATGCCAAATTATTTATTCTATTGTGTTCTCCTAATAATCTTTGATTTAGTGTAGAACTCACATATCTGCAATCCCCAAGTAAACAAGACGTTTGGTCATAAAACCTTCTAATATCTTAA